CGCCACCCTGGGCTGGCATGTGGGTCACTCCCAGGCTGGCATGATGTGCCATGGTGAAGGCCCCTGGCTGCTGGCTGCTTCCCAAAGTGGCTGCCCCTTCCATGTGGTGGGGGCAGGTTCTGGGCTCCCACCCCGGTCCACAATCAGTCAGCCCTGTTTGCAGTCGCTGGGGGTCCGTGCCCCTGGAATGTGGCTGCTGACACCCACCCTGTGGGGCACCTGTCCATGTCTCCACCCTTCTTCTCAGGTTTTGCCTTTCCCTGGTTGGTCGTAGACTGTCTCTGTAGAGTCCACACGCAGGCCTAGTGCGCTGCGTGGGTGCTATGCTGGTGCCATATGGCCCCATCTCCACTTTCTCAGGAACAGAAGTATCTGGTGTTAATGACAACCACTTGGTGAGCTTCACTTCCTTGAAATGTGTGGTGTGAGGCCACAGAGGAACCCACAGCCACCATTTCTGGTGTGAACCTGGGTTCTGCAGCCCCTGACTGCAGGCCTGCTCTGCTGAGCTTGGACCTCACATCCAGCTCAGGGCCCAGCTCAGAGGAGCTCCATGGGGTGTTCACAGCACTCTGAGGGGTGCCAGCCCCAACAGCAGAAAGGTCCTGAGCCAACACCAGGAGTGTGTCCTGGAACCTATGTCCCACCGGCAACCCTTAGGGGTTGATGTACCTGGGAACGGCCTGCATGTGGGTCCTGGAGAGACGCGGGGGTGTCAGGCTTGAGGAGGGCCCACGGGGGCCAGAGCCCACAGCTGGACGCCCATCTCACCCATTACCTGGAACTCCCTGGGGGAATTTCAGAGGGAAGTTTGTTTCTGGCCTGTACCCTGAAATGCAGCCTTGGAGAGAAGGGTGGGGCCCTCTCAGGCAGAGAGCCGTCTCAGGCCTGGGCTGGGGGTATGTGCACGGCAGCCCAGGGAGGGGGCTGGTGCAAAGATAGCAGAGGGATGCAGGGTGGCGAGGTCTGCAGCACAGGGCCCCATTGTCCTGACAGTCACGGCTGCACTTTGCCACCTGCCCCAGGCCCATGTGCAGCCGGGAGGGGCTGAGGCCAGGTCCTTGACCAGGGCTGAGGCCATTAGTGTGGCCACCATACACAGACAGGAGTGGGTGGGGGGCTGTACTGTGGCCACGCAGCTCCTGACATTTCCAGCACGACTTTGCAACACCTGCATCACCAAGCAGACAGGTGTGCTCCCAGGCCTGGCTAGGGGGCACTGAGGGGGTATGGGGAGGCAGCAGGGCCCCCACCTGGCCAGTGCTGATGGAAGGGCAAGCCCCACCTGGCTGTGTCTTCCAGGAGGGGAGTTGAGAGGATGTCTCTATTTGCTTCTCTCACTTCTACCAAGATTTATTTGAGGAGTCACCACAGGACTTGACCGAGAGCTGGAGGCCAAGCTGGGGCTTTGGTGGCTCAGCTTAAAGGGAGGGGGCACTGTGGTGTGTCATGGGCTTTCCCAGAGCCCAGTGGTGAGCTCTGAATGCAGGATGGGATTTCCATGTGAACAACAGCTGGAGAGTTGGTGTGCCACCCCCAAGAAGATGCCAGGAGATGAGGAATGGAGACCCCACAGCCAGCACGGGGGCTCCCAGAGGGGCGTGCACCAGCTTGAATCTCTGCCCATCCAGCAGGTCCTATGCTCTGAGACTTCTGAGCTCTTACACCACCTTGGGCAGTGCTCCATCCCATGCAGGGGTCTGCTCCCCCTCACATGCTGCTGACCCTGGAGGTGGCAGGGCAGGAGGCAGGCGGGGCTGGTGCGAGGCTTCCTGCATGGAGGGAGCAGCCCGCAGGTGGCCACCCACCCACTGGGCACATGGGCGTCCTGAGCTGGGGACAGGCCAGCAGGGCCTGCTGGCAGTGGGATGTCGGAATGACACCAGGGGGCACTGAAGGTCACGGAGACTATCATGTCTTCAAGATACGGTCACTTGTTGCTTTGAAACAAGGAGCTTTACCTGGAAATGTAAAATTATCTTATTTTGGAAAATGTCAAAGCTACAGAGAAATGCAGGACGGAGGGAGGGCCCTGCCAGAGGCCCAGTGTCCTCACAGCAGCCACCCTGCCCGCCCCTCTTCAGGCTGTTCATCTGCTGAGCAGGCTTTTGTTTGTGAGGTCTCAGGTGGCAGTGACGTGCTTGAGGAGCTGGGCCATTGTTCCGCAGAACTCCAGAGCCTGTTAGGTGCTGGGCAGTCAGCCTGCCTGTCCCTCCTGGGAGGGATATGTGTCCCCAGGGCAGATGGCAGGGATGCTGGGGGGGCCTGGGCAGAGAACCTGGCAAGCACTGCCACGCCCCCTTTCTGAGCCTGTGCAGGGGGGTAGGGAGGGCAGACTGGGGGCTTCAGAGCCACCCCTGCTCTGGTTGGGCCTCTCTGGAAATTACCCTGCCCAGCCGGCCAGGGGAGGCCAGTCCCCCGGGCAGCTGGCCAGAGTTCCCAGAGTCCCCTCCCCTCCCCTCTGGCTCTGGCTGAGCCCACACACCGTCCAGCCTGAAGCGCTGGCACACTTTCTGTTCTAAAAAACAACTGCAGCTTTAGGCACCAGGCCCATGTCCCCTCCAGCTCAGCTCCACCCCTCCCCCAGCCCCTGAGCCCTGGGGGTCACTGCGGCAGGCCCAGGCATCCAGCCCCCTCTGCGGGGAATCTGCGGGGTCGCCAGGATGGACTCTGGACAGGCAGGAGCAGGCTCCTGGGCGGGTGCCCAGCCCTTCCCACCTAACTCCATGAAAGAGGTCCTGTGCCTCCCGGAGCTGACCTCTTTCCCACACCCTGGGCCCCCGCGAGGCCAGCCACGCATCCTCCTTGGAGAGGCCCACAGTGTGTTCCCAGCCCGGATGGGTGAGGCCTCAGCTGAGTCTTGGGCCAATAGACTTGGAAGACCAGCCACGGCCTTTGAAAAAGAAGGGAGACAACCCCAGCAAATGACCCTTAACCTCTGGACCTCAGTTTTCTCATCTGTAAAATGCAAGAGTTGGACCTGCTGATGAGCCCTGGTGCCCACCAACCCAGCTGGACAAAGATGAGCCCTGGCCCTGACCACAGCCCCCTACCCTGCGAGTCTGTTCAGTGAGGTCCTCCCATCCCCATGGGCGGCAGCAACTTTGGGTGGCAGTCCAGGCAGAGTCTGCAGAAGCTTCTGTGGGGCCCCATGGGGCAAAGGTGCCTCTGCTCCTATGCTCTTGCCCCTGGACACCACACCCCATTTGGCAGAGCGGTGTCTAGGTCTTTAAGAGAGCCAGCCCTCCTGGGAAGGACACCAGAAACTGGTCTACTTTGGGGGGTGGCCTTTTCCTGTTCCATGCTGCTGCCACAGGGAGCTGCCTGCAGCCCTGACCTCTGCCATCTGACTCTCCTGCCCCTTCCTTGGGACTCCAGGCCCCCTCTGTGCAGTGTAGACAAGGTTCAGTCGCAGGTGCCTGGTGGCCAGGCCCATGCACCCTCACCCCCACTGAGTCTGGCGCTGCAGGCAGGGCCCCAGGACATTCTGGGAGGGGCCCAAGCCTCCAGCTGCTGCTGGGAGCCTGGGGAATGGTGGGAACCCGGCCCACCCCACCTGCTTCTCTCTTTTGTCTTTCACTGGAAATACTTTCTCTGGGTTTGAGTGCCTGTTGTGTGGCTGTTAAAATGAGAACAAAGCTGAGGAAATGCCGGGTTCTGTGATCCCACAGCCCAGAATGCAGGGACTCCAGAGGCCTCGGGACCTGTAGGGACTCACACACACTTGACTCTCTCGCCATGTCATGGCCATCTTTGCCTCTTCCATCTTCACGTCGTAAAAGTGTTCTGGGGTAGTGCACTGGGCCAGGTGCTGTCCAGCAGCTGCGTCCGGGGAGGGCTGTCCCTGCACAGCAGGTGAGACCTCAGCCTGGATGGGGGAGGCTTCTTGCCTCTGGAAGAGAAAGGATTCTCACGCAGGTCACAGGTTGTAAAAGGGCAGGGAGGAAGGAATTCATCAGAGGGAGGGCAGCAGGGATGAAGGAGGGCAGAGAGTGAACACTCAGTGCTCAAGTCTAGAAAACACTGAAATAACGAAGAAACGAAGACGCTTACCACTGGATGGGCATGGAGAGCCAAGCACAGTGGGTTGAGCAGCAAGAAGGCTTTATTTTCAAAGTACACACTCAAAGAAAGGGGAGTGCAGGCAGCCTCAGAGAGGAGGAGCACTTAAGGGCTTAGGGTTCTGTCTTTGAAGGCTCTCAGGAACGGGGCACAGGGCGGAGTGGCTGGGGGTTGTTGGGCATGGGCTTGACTTGTGGTCTCATGATGCCTTTCTGGTGAGGGACACTATGTCACCATCCACAGTCAGTCCTCTAGATAATTCTGTAGGATAAACTTAACACAAGAATTTATTGATCCAGTTCCTCTCTAAGATAGTGGTTTCCCTCAAGCACTGGGGACATATCCAGACTGCTTGTCCTGCCTTAAGATGGGGTGGGTTCTTGTCTGATTACCAAATAATATGTTAGGAAGCCAACTTCTCAACTCTGCTTTTAAAATGGAATCTTAGCCTTAAGATAAGTTCCTCCTGTTCTTACTATGCTATTCATATCTCGGCATTTTTAGGACAATTAATCATGATGTTTGTCCATGTTTCTGCCCTATCTCACCTGCATTAGATGAAGCAAGTCTCAAGGTCAAGGTTCACGTGGAATGAACTCACACTGCAAAGGGCATTAACTCTGAGTCCTCTCTGGCTCTCTGGCTTTATCTCATTAACTCCCTAAGTTCCGGGTGGGCCCCAGGGTGGGCCCCAACCCCCACCCAGTGGGCCCCACCCTCTTTTCATCCCATTCATATCTGCCTTTCTGCCTATCAGAGATGCCTAACTTTTTGGACTAATTTCCCTTCAATGGACAGTTGGTTTGACAAATCAGAAACTCTAGACACAGAGAGCTCTGACATAGGCGGGATCTGAGCCCTTACACATGTGACCAAAATAAGGTCTGAGTCCTGGGACGGAAGCGTCTGCCCCACCGTAAGCAGGACCAGTTGACAGAAACAACTTGCCTGCCAGACTCAAGAAACGGCACATTTATGAGGGCCTCAAGGAAAGGGAGTTCTTTAAATTCACATTGGCTACAGAGAAGGAAGGGGGACTAACTAGAAGTGGGGTGAGGCTCGGGACAGGCCGTCCGCAGAGAAGGTGGGTGGAGGGCTGCTGACGGTCAGGCACTGGTCATGCGCACCGGGGATGCGGTGTCCTGGGCCTTCTGGATGCTTCCAAGAAGGTGGAGTCTCTAGTCAGCTAGGCTGTGAGTATGACTGATGACCTTTCCTGTCTCTCCCTTATTCTTCGCCCTTATGTGACTTAACTGAGGACATTTTAGACCTTGTCCTTAGCAGGTTGTTCCCTGGCTGTCCTATGAAGTGCTGGAGGACTGGGGCCGGGCATCCAAGGATGTGCCTGGCAGGGCTCTGTAGCCTGCTCCCGCCCCACCTTCTCTGCAAGCTTCCTAGACCAGGACTGGGGCGTGGGGGCCAGGGAAGGCTCACGGCAGAGGCAGCAGGGAAGGCGGGGAGGAGGGGTCAGGGGACCCGCCCAGGGCCTGGTGATTTGCGCCCTGGTTGTGCCCCTTGTGGACTGCACCCCACCAGGGTAGACCCCGCGCCGCGAAACATGATCGCCTTCTGCTGGAACCCCCTCTTGGCGCGCTGGGTGAGCCCCAACTAGGCAGAATAAGGGGGAGCACACCAGACTGCGGGGGCCTGCGTGGTGGGGGAGTCAGCGCGGGGAGGACCCTGTTGGGGGGCGGGTGGCGCGACAGTAGCTGAGCGGAGAGCTACCGCTGGGGGGCGGGCCACACCGGAGAGCGGGGGCCGCGGGCTGGGGGAGGAGGCCTCCGCGACAGGGCCCGGCCCCGCCCGCTGGGCCGCGCGTAAACTTTTCCGGGGGCCGCGGGCGCAGCAGGTGAGGTCACGTGGGCGGGCCGGGGGCGGGTCGCACGGACCCCGCCTAGCGCCCAAGTTCCGCGGCGCGTCGGCAGGAGCGGCCGGGACGGCCGGGCTGTGCGCTATGCCCACCAGCTTCACCGTGGTGCCCGTGGGGGCGCGGGCGGACGGCGGCCAGGACGAGGCGGCGGAGCTGAACGAGGCGGCGGGACCCCCCGAGGGCGGCGAGCCCGACAGCCCCCGCCCGGGTGAGCGCGGCCGCACCTGCCGCGGGACAAAGCGGAGCCGGCTACGCGGGGCGGGGCGGGGCTGGCCCGGGAGGAAAGGGCGGCCCGGGGTGGGGGCGGCCGCTTCCCCGGCGCAGGCTGCAGCCGCTTTCCTCGGGGCTCCCGCCGCGAGTACCTCTCACTCCACGCTGGTTTCACCTCTCCGCCCCCTGCCGCTGTCCCGCCTGCACTCCTCCAGCCCACAGAGCCTCCTCCCCAAGCCCAGCCCTGGGGCGCAGAGCCCCTGCGTGGGCAGACACCGCCCAGGGGACTGGGGGTCCCCTCTGCTCCTCGCCCCGGGTCCCAAGCCCAGGAGGGATTGGACGCACCCGGCGCTGTGGTGGGACGGTGAGGCCAGGTGAGACGCCCTGGGGTAGCCAAGGAAACGGGGAGGGCCTCTTCCTCTCGAGAACCTCCGAGGCCCGAGAGCCTTCCTGTTTCCTTCGCGCCGCCTTTGCTCCGCTCCTGCGGGAGGGGCGGAGGTCCCGGCTGGGCTCCTCTGTGCGCAGCCTGACCGCGGTCAGGCCTAGCCTGCGGGGTCATTGGCAGGAAGGACAGCAGGCCCCTGATGGGGCTGGGGGCCACCACTGCACCCCGTGGAGCCGTGCTGAGGGTCCCTGCCCACTTTGCTTCTGGAATCGGGAGGTGTCTGGGGCTTTCACTTTCCAGTGGGGGGGGGACCCACCATCTGTGTCCAGGCTCCAGACCCCACACCCCTGCAGCTGGTGGACGCTCACCCTAGCTTGTCGGTGGCCTCAGCGCCCCTCAGGGACTGTAGGACCACACAGACGAAGCCTCACTCTGAAAGGCCAGGCAGCTCAGGAGCGAGGGCCTTGGCCATACAGGGACCAAACTGTGGCCAGGCCTCAGACTCTCCAGAGCCCACTGCCTGGCAGGCAAGGCCCGGCCCCCCTGGGGGCACCCTGGGAGGAGCCCCTGCGAAGGCTCTGTCCTGGGGGGTGGATGGCCTTCTCGCCCGCCCAGTGAGTTCCTCTCACTAGGACTTGGCATTGGTCATGGCTGCTGCTGCTGCGGGCTTGAAACCAGGTGAAGGTGAAGGCAGTGCGTGGCTCAGGTGCTCACCACTGCCCGTGTTCCGGGCGGAACGGGTGGGCGCGCTCCGTGTGGTCTCTCGGGTCACTCTGATGGCCCCCAGGAGCACCGCGTCCCCATGGGTGTTGCAGTCTCCCTGCCTGCTGGCCCCTTCAGAGGGGCCACCACCCCTCTCCCTCCAGACCTTGACTGAGGTTTGTTTGAAGCCAGGGATAATTTCCTTCCTGCTCATTTTTTTTGCTGCTGCTTAGGAGCTCTTGAGCCATGGCAGTCCAGTCCTGGGCCTGTGAGCTGAAAGCTGGCACTGCAGCTGCCAGGAGGGCCGTGCATCCCACCCAGCTAGGCAGGTGCAGCCCAGGTCTGGAGCCCCCAGCCCACCCTCATGGAGGGCTTTTGCCGCGTCCTCAGCCGAATCCCCCTTCGGTTCCTGCTACAGCGGTCAGGAACCTCACCTACCTGTGTGGTCCCAGGTGTGGCAGCATGCGATGCATGCAGGTCTGGGCCTGCTCTATAACGAACCCTTCAGGGTCTGAATTGAACTTGGGCGCTTGGCTGAGCTGGCACACCTAGCCTGGACCTTGATGTCCCGTGTTCTGCAGAAGGAGGTCCTGCTGTGGGATCATAGAGCTTAGTGCTGTTGTCTCTGCTGGGCTGGGCTCTGATGTTTAATGTCAGATCACAGTCAGTGCCCAGAGGAGCTGTGTGACCCGCACCATGTCGCCAGCATGCCTGGGGGTGCCCCTGGGGAAGCAGCCACACGCTCTGCTTGGTGGGGAAAGGCCCACAGGAGCTGCGGAAAACAGCTGCCTCCCTGCCAAAGGCCCACAGTGTGGGGCACGTGCCCCGTGATCCAACCTGCCCTATCACAGGATGTCTGGCAAGAGTTCCTGCCTGACTCTGGCCAGCCCTCAACCCCTCGGGAGGCACCTGCCTTCCCAGGTGGGCCTCCTGGTGGGCAGGCCTTCTGAAGTGCTCCTGGAAGCCTTTTGGCTATCAGGGCAAGCCTGTGGCTGGGGTCTCAGAGCTGGGCAGATTGTGGCCCTTCACCCAGGTGGAGCCTTATGGAGGCCTGGGTCCCCTTGGAGTTGGAGTTGGACAGAAGGAGTGACAGACCCATTCAGAGGCCCTTCACCCCATCAGCAAGTGGGGCTGTGTTCTGCATTCAGTCTGTTCTGGGAATGACTGGGGTTCATCATTCCTGGGAGCCAGTCCTCTCCCTGAGGATGGGCTCCATGTCCCCAGTGACAGCACATTTATTCTGCTTTTTACTGGGAGGGGATGTTGGTCTGGAAGTGGACGATGATCTCTGGGGTTCCTGGGCTGTGTGGCACTTGTTTCTCAATGGAAGTACCTCACTGAGGGTAGGTGGCCAGGACGGTGCAGGGAGTGGAGATCTTCCCTGACTTCCCAGTATGGTGGGCTTCACACAGCTTCGGAGAGCCCACCCTGACTCACTCTAGGGCTGGGGGCTGCTTGATTCCCCGTCCCCAGGTCTTGTGAGCCGGCCCTGCAGGCCTCGGGCAGACAGGTGGACGGGCCCCAGGAAGGGATCAGTGAGGCTGGCCCTCCGGGGCTTCCCTGGGCCTGCAGCCCCAGGTCCCCCAGCTGAGACCCTTGCTGCTCACAGGGAGCTCCCCGCAGCTCTGGCTCCCTCTTTCTGGGGTCCTTTCTATGAGTGACGTCATGCTCTGAGGCTCAGCCTGCCTCCTCTCCTCCCTCCATCAAGGGGACCTGTGTTCCTCCAGAGCAGTCCTGGGGAGTGTCACTTTGTCCTGCTGGGGTGCATGGCAGGCTGGCCGTCAGGCAGTGGCGAGACCATCAGCTGGCCTGGCTCAGAGGTCCCGGGGGCACCTGAGCAAGTGTGGCCACTGCCCTCAAGGGGCTGGTATGCCGGGCTGGCTGAGCTGATCAGGAGCTGGGGCGTGGGGCTTGGGGAGCAGTGTGGCTCGGGGGTGACAGAGACAGAGCTGCCAGGTTTTTCTCCTACCAGGCAGGGACCCGGAGCAGCAGCTCAGTGGCCGGGTGTCAAGGAGGAAGGAATGCGTCACACTGACTCGGGGGCGCGGAGGGACCAGGCCCACCCTGCTGTCTGTCCTGACCCGGTGCCTGAGTCAGGGGCTGACACCATCTCCTTGGGAATCACTGCAGGCCCCTGTGACGTGGTTCAGGGTGACTTGATACCAGATTGGGGGCTTGGCAAACATGTCTCATGTGCCAGATCCCATCTCTAAAGGCAGAGGAACCGAGAGTAGTTGGATGTATTCCCCTTGCAGTGTGGCTGCCCTGTGTGGAAGTGCGGTGGTCACTTCTCCTCCATGGCCTCACACACCCGGCCTGTCTGCAGAGTCAGGTCCTGTTCTCAGAAATCAAGTGGGGAAGTGGTTTAAATCCTGCTGAGCCTGTGTATGTGTGTGTGGGGAGCTCATGTCCCATGTTGTTGTATGTGTACACTTGTGGGAACATGTGGGCACGTGTGGGGGGAGTTCATGGGCGTGTTTGTGCATGTGTAAGGGCCTGCATGTGTGTGCCTGGAGGCCTGCATTCATGTTTGTGCAGGCCTGTGTGTGTGTGCATGCCTCCGTGCGTGCCAGTGTGTACCCATGCCTGGATTCCTCTCTGTGTGTACCTTGCGTGCGTTCCTCCGTGTGTATGTGTATGTGTGTGCATGTGTGCCTTCGTGTGAGTACCTGTGTGTGTGTGCCTCCATGTGCGCCAGTGTGTGTGCACCTGTGCATGCGTGCATGACTCTGTGTGTGCCAGCATATGTGCATGCATGCATGCAGCGGCAAGCAGAGACGGCTGCGGTGGTCACTGACATCGGGTCATGCCTTCGGGTGGTGTTGGGCCTCAGTTCTTTCCCTCTCAGCCCCAGGGGACTCCATCCATTCAAGTGGCTGGGGACGCAACCTCCGTCTGGGAGACATCTTTGTGTCTGATCTGAAGTCTGTCCCAGCTCAGGTTTCTGTGCTGGGTATGAAGGGCCTGTAGCCTCGTGGCTCCAGCTCTGTGGTCTCTTGTTCTGAAAAGTTCCCAGACCTCCCAGT